CCCTCCGACAGTGCGGCGCTCCCTCAGCGCTGACCCTCCGACAGTGCGGCGCTCCCTCAGCGCTGACCCTCCGACAGTGCGGCGCTCCCTCAGCACTGACACTGACACATTGAGACTCACCAGTGCGGAGTGGCCTTCTCTTGGTAGTTATTGCTGTGACTTTGCCTTTGATGAGGTTGACTTTGGCCGAATAGAGCAGACCGGAGCACAGAAGCTTGTTACCTCCTTCCACTGCCCAGAGGTCAGACTGTACCGCTAGCAGTGCCATCATTCCTGTCCCACAGAGACAGGGAGAGAGGGAGAGGTAGAGGGAGAGAAAGGGAGATAGGTAGAGAGATGGAGGAGAGGGAAGTGGAGAGAGAGTTAGAGACGGTGTAGGATTGAACAAAAATTGCCATATTCTGAAATAGTGGACCAAAATCCTGGATTTTACAAATAACTTGTGTAACTTAAAAAAAAGGCAGCTGGTCTATGCTCTGGCAAAGTTATACAGACAGGGATAGCTGCTCGGAATCATTGGTCAGCCTGAAAATCCAATTCACACCTCAACCCTAAAAGGACAATGAACCCAGGCCTGAAACTAACTTATCCCAGACATAACGGACATCAGCTCTGAGGAAGCGTCATCGGACCCGAAACGTTAACTCTGTTTTTTTCCCTTCACAGATGCTGCCAGACCTGCTGAGCTTTTCCAGCAACTTCTGTTCTTGTTCCTGATTTACAGCATCCGCAGTTCTTTTGGGTTTTATTTAGTGTTTAACTCACTGCCACATCTCTTCCAGGCATGCCCACCTTGAAGAAGTTCTGCTCCTCTCTGCAACGGGATTTCCGTTCCAATCTCTCTTCTTGCCCACCGACATTAATTTCACTGTCACTCCTGGTGTTTGTCCAAGTGTTTACTAGAAATCAGTTTGCACAGCCATATCACATTCCTCAGTGACTGCCTCCGCCTCAGGCTCACCCCATGTGGATTCCAACTGAAGTTTCATCCCTCATGTTTTGAATCCTCCCAGGATCACAGATATCTCCGTGATGTTCAACGTTCCACAGACAGCTGCTCTCGCCGCATCCTGTGATCCACACTCAGTGCCATGCGGCGCCACACGCACACTCTCGACCTTTTCCTCCAGGTGCTCCGGTTTCCTCCCACCATCCAAAGATGTGCAGGCTAGGTTGATTAGCCATGCCAAATTGCCCGTAGTGCCCAGGGATGTGTAGGTTAGGTGGATTAGACACGGGAAATCAGGGGGATGGGTCTGGGTGGGATGCTGTTCAGAGGAGCGGTGTGGACTTGTTGGGTCGAATGGCCTGTTTCCACACTGTAGGGATTCTATGATCCTTTCTCTCCAACAGCATCACATCACACTGACTCAGGGTTGCACCAGTCCACAGTTCCACTTCATCCTCCGGCTCATTCCTCATGCTAACAAGAAATTTTTGTGGGCATTTTGGCCACAACTCAAAAATACCCATGGCCCTCTGGAACCTTTCTCTCCTCCCCTTCCCTCTGACTCCATCTCCTCCCTCAACCCCCCCCCACTTCCTGTCAGGTATTCACCGTCCCTGCAAACCTTCCACTCTCTGATGCTGAACGCTCCGTACTCAGCAAAGGCCTCAGCTTTATTCCTCTGCGTCCCTACCTTAACGAATTTCGGGCACGACATGACGCTGAACTCTTCTTCTGCCGTCTTCACCTCCGTGCTTATTTCTTCAGACAAGTGCCCTCTCCCCGTCCCACAGACCCCTTCGTCCAGTTCCAAAACTCTCCCTCCACCTGGACCCCTCCCTCTGGCCTTTTACCTGCACTCGATCTGTTCACTGAGAACTGCTGATGTGACATTAGTTGCCTCAATTTCGCTGCCCCCCCTCACCAAACCTAACCTATCTCCCTCCGAACTGACTGCACTCCATGCGCTCAGATCTAACCCTGACCACTTCTGAGGAAGGGTCACCGGGCCCGAAACGTTAACTCTGTTTTTTACCTTCACAGATGCTGCCAGACCTGCTGAGCCAACCGAGTGTTATCTCACCGAGAGCTAGCCCAAGGAGACGGATCTGAAAGAGCTACTGCCCTGAGGGTGATCCCCACAGCCATCTCCAGAAGAGAGATGCCATACAGTCACCCCCGCCACCGCGAGAACTATCTGCACAGCTGTCTCTCTGAAGCACCAGCTATAGCAAGCGGGAATGACCAGCTCGATTTCAAAATCACATTTAACCCCCAGTGTTGAGCTTATATTGTTGAGAGCCCAATGTACCCAGCCGAGTGAGTAGGGAGGGGAAGGTGACAGTGCAGGGAACTCCCAAGTTTAGGAAGTCTGATTAAAGTGTCTCTGATGAAAATCCTGTTGTTTAGCTTCTAACAGTTTTAACCTGTGTTTAATTGAATAGTTTATTTCATACTGTCCTCCAAACGACCGACAATGTCAATTTGAGAATACCAAAGTGTGGAGCTGGAGGAAACCAGCAGGCCAGGTAGCCTCAGAGGAACAGGAAAGCTGACGTTTTTTTTACATATAAGCTGCCCTCCCCCTCCCCATTTCTAAAGAAGGGTCCAGACCTGAAACGTCAGCCTTCCTGCTCCTCTGATGCTGCTTGGCCTGCTGTGTTCATCCAGCTCTACACCTTGTTATCTCAGATTCTCCAGCATCGGCAGTTCCTGCTATCTCTGACAATGTCAATTTCACTGTTTTGCATTTACCTCCTGTAAGATATTCACCTTTGTATTATTTCCTTGTTTAGTACGCTTGCCTTTTTATTTCTTGTGCTATACTCACCTTAGTATTTAATAAACACAGAGACTCCTTGCCCTGGAACACCTGGCTACTGCCTTCTTCACTTCACATTCCTAAATTCATTTAGTATCCGAACCAGGGATCTGTGAGGGGGTGATCCAAACCAGCTAAACATCAGCAGTTTTACTGATTGCAAACTAGAATTCCTACAACGGAGGACAGAGAGAGAGGGGGAGAGAAGGGAGAGGGGAGAGCTGAGTCCTCTCCTGGTCTGTGTGTGAATGGTTGCTGGGTGGAGGTTATGGAATCTCTCCCAGAGGGTATGAGTGGTTGGGGGTGTCTGCCTCCTGCTGTCTTCCAATAAAGGAACTGGGAGTCGTCATTCCAAGCAAGATCCCATAAAGGGCCAACAAAAGGGATCACCTGAGTGTGTGGGGTTGCTGGCTGAGGGGGATATATATTGGCCCTAGGAGAGTGAGCGATGCTCCCTGAACACTTACTGGGTGGATTACAGCACTGTAACACCTACTGGAGACGACACATGGACGCTCTCTCTTCTCCGGGACATTCCCAGCCACACCCTGGTGGGCTCTGTGCGCTGGGGGTAAGGAGTGAGGGCAGCCTGACTAGGTGATATGGGAATGCAGACACTGAGACACCGCTGAAAGGCCTCGGTCTGTCAGGCACAGTCCAGGAAGCGCTGCCCTGTCACAGAGTCAGTGCTGAGGGAGCGCCGCACTGTCGGAGGGTCAGTACTGAGGGAGCGCCGCACTGTCGGAGGGTCAGTACTGAGGGAGTGCCGCACTGTCGCAGGGTCAGTGCTGAGGGAGCGCCACACTGTCGGAGGGTCAGTGCTGAGGGAGCGCCACACTGTTGGAGGGTCAGTACTGAGGGAGCGCCGCATTGTCAGTGGGTCAGTACTGAGGGAGCGCCGCACTGTCTGTGGGTCAGTACTGAGGGAGTATACTGTCCCACATGGTCTAACGTGATCTCTCTGTGAGTGAGGGTCAGTCTGATTGAAGTGCAGAAGATTCTGAAAGATCCTGTCAGGGGGAGACACATTGAGGGCTGAGGGGCGTTGGTGAGTGGCTGTGTGTGGGTGGGTGCGGGGGATGGTTGGGAGCTGAGTGACTGTATTCCATACGGTCTATGATGGAGGGATGATTCATTTGTTGCTGCCTTTGTGAACATAAACGGTGGAGCATGCCAGCTCCTGCTGAAGGGAGTTGATCACATTTTCCATCAGCAGGAGGCAGCCCTGTATGTACACACACAGAGAGAGAGAGAGAGAGAGAGAGACCAAACCCTGTTCTCACCCAATCACGAGGGAGCCCTGCAGGGTGTTGTGTCGCCCCGTGATGGTAACACAGACCATGCAGGCCACCCTCCCACACCCAGGAGGAGCTAGGAGTCACCTACCTGCAAAAGCACTGACATTGGTGGCCTGGCCGTAGGTGAGTCGCATGACGGGGGCGATCATCTCGTCCAGGAACCGCTGGCTGACCCCAGCCTTGCGCAAGGCCTCAGCGATGGACTTCTGGGTGAGCTGTGAGAGCTCTGGGCCCCCAGCCCGTTTCAGCAGCTTCCCCGCACTCCCGGAGCACTGACCATGGGCCTGGAGCTGGTAAACCCTGCACACAACATACAGAGACACCCGTCACATCCCCAGCTGAGAACCACACCCCACCCAAACCAGCTCGTCCTGACAGCGACAGGCCGGCTCAGAGGCCGCCGATATGTTTGGGTGCTAGCCAAATGCAGGCTGTTGTTGTTGCCGCCCCGAAGGTGGGGAGAGCAGACTGAGAAGTGACGAGGAGGAAGGGAGAAGGAGTTCTGTCTTTGTCGTCGCTGAGATTACTTACTTGAGGAACTTGTGCAGATAAGTGTCCAGCCACGTCTTTGTACGGAAGTAATCCAGGCCATACCTCCATACCAACTTGATGGCATTGACAAGGAACCACTCGCTCTCCTCAAACACCATCTCCTCTCCGTCAGACACTGCCAACAGCGCCCTGGGCAGTTTCACCGCCTTCAGACCTAACAGACAGCAGGAAGAACCGTCCCTTAAACTGCTGCATTGCAACAACAAATGCAGGCCATTCAATCCATCCAAACCAGCTTTCTGTTCCTCACAAACCTCTTCCCAATCCCCTCTTCCTGTCCGTTCCTCTCCCAACTCGCTTGTTTGTCTGGATCCTGCACAATTACACTCTTCAATCCCAGAGTTTTACTGAATCCAAAGTTCGAGCCTGGGTCTCCACATCCTTCCCTGGAACTCGGGATTAATAGTCTAGCGCTAATACCCCTGGACTGTTCCCCCGCCACCATCCCCCAGTACGTTGTGGGGGAGCGGTGCTGGCATCAAAACCCAAAAGGCCAGAATGAGAGGCACAGGGAGATCCCACAGGATGGTGAAGCTGGAGGGGAGAGCGCAGGGAGGGGCGGGTGTGATGATGCTGTCACTTTAAGAGGTTTTTTATCCTGGGATTTGTTGTGAAGAGAGGTTTAAAGCAGAAGGATCGAGCAGTCTGCCATCACCACGAAAATAAACAGCTTGTGAGACCTGAGGGTTTGCTTAAAGTTGAAACAATAGAAGGTGCCTGAACGGGTGTGGTCGAACTCCCACAGAACCAGGATCTTTAGTTTTAGCTTTCAGCAAAGGCTGCTGTGGTTGTGAAAAGCTGCTACATCTTTCTTGACTACAGATGAAACCTGGTGTTCTCTCTCTCAGAACTGCCTTTTGATGTCCTTTCCTCCCGGATGGGAGAACTGCATGTGAGACAATCTGTTTTTCTGAAGTTGCCTTTGTTGACAAGGGGTGTGTCTATGGGATGTTACTATATTGGAACAGTTAATTAGTAACAGTGTTACTGTATCAATTGTTCAGTTAAGTTTTCCGATAGAATTAAATGTTTCCTTGTTCTTCTTTGATTTGTTGTATTTTAGTTAAAGCGTTTGGATGAATTGAGTTTTGCCTTGAATCTGGGGAGTTTGACCAATCAAATTGCATCTGTAACTGACATTTACCTATAAAATAAAAGTTTGGGTCGAGGTTAACTTCGGAATAGTCTGGGGGGTGGTTAGGTTTGGTCCATAACAGTCCATAACATCAGAAACCAACTTGAACTTGGGGTACAGGCACAGGAGTCCATGGTGGGTCACTGAACAGGAGGAGGAGGTGGGAATGGAATCCAGGGCACGGCTGTATCTGGCCAGCGGAGGTTCGGACCAGTTGGAGTTTCTGAGAGGTGCGAGGCCTGGGGGTGAGGTCCGGAGGTCCTATTACCCAAGGAGCAGGGTTTGAGTACGGAGAGAGACAGTCCTGCTGACCAATCAGAGGGTGGCGAAAGTCTGGCTCAGTTTGACCACAGAAACTCCTGATCCCTTCCCTGGCCTGGGCATGTTCCCCTTGAAGGAGAGGTGTTCGCATCCGGGAAAGGGCCAATCTGTGGAGCTCAGGGTGAAGGGATGTGAGTTGGGTAGCACTCTCAAAGAGCTAGGATGGTGATGATGGACAGAATGGTCTCATTCTGCACTGCACCATTCTACGGTCAGACAGCTGTAGGGGGCTCGAACCAGCTCCATCCTCGCGAAAGTGAAAGAAACGCCAAGCCAACCCTTTTCTCAGCTCTGTCCTGGCGCTGACCGATCTCGACGAGAACTTACCCAGGGTCCGGGCAATCTCCTTCACGTGCGTGTTCAGTGGGTGAAGGGCAGACGCTCCCATTTCATACTCCAGGCCATTCAGGCTGTCTGTTGCCATGGTCCCTCCCACCGTCTCACTCTCGTACACGTCGATTCGGACTCCGGAGCCGAAAACCTGTCTCAGGGACTGGGCTGAAGAACATCCGGAAATTCCAGCACCCACCACTGCTGTAGGGAAACCACCGGGAGTCAGGGACAGACAGTGACCAGGGAGAGGTGGTCGGGGGGGAGGGAGCTGGAGGGAGAGAGACAGGGAGAGAGAGAGAAGGAGAGAGATAGGGAGATAGAGGGAGGATAGGAGAGAGGGAGAGAGACAGGGAGAGAGAGGGAGAGGGAGAAGGAGGGAGGGAGAGAGGGAGAGAAATCGGGGGAGAGAGAGGGAAGGAGAGAGATAGGGAGAGAGGGAGAGAGACAGGAAGAGAGAGAAAGGGAGAAAGATAGGGAGAGAGAGGGAGTGTGGGAGAGGGAGGGAGAGAGATCAGGAGAGAGAGAGGGAAGGAGAGAGAGAGGGAGAGAGGGAGAGAACAAGCAAGAGAGAGAGGGAGGAGAGTTGCCTCCATTCCATACAGGCTGTGTCAGTGTCAGTGTGAGCCAGCACAGGGAAGGGCAGGGCCAGAGACTGAGGCATTGCTCTGGGCTGGCCAGCTGCAGAGTGAGAGACCACCCAACGTAGGAGCAGAGGTGGCCGCTCAGCCCATTGTGTTCGCTGTGCCATTCAGTCAGATCATGGCTGGTCTCATCTGGATTATCCTCACCCCCGTGATCCTACCTTCTCCCTGTAACCCTCAGTTCCCTCACTGATTAAAAAATCTACCTCAACTTTGAGGACCCAGCCTCGACAGACCTTGATGGTGAAGAATTCCACAGATTCCCTCCCCTCGGAGAGAAGAAATTCCTCTCTATCTCTGTTGTAACTGGGTGACCCTTACTCCGAGGTGATAGCCAAGAGACTGTTGTTGGAGGCTGTTTCTCAAACCTGTGGATGCTGTCCCTTGGAGCAGAGACAATCATTTCCCAAGCCCAACAGCAACGTCCTGTGAATGACTGGGGACTGGCCCTCAAAGTATCCTGTACTCTGCGAGAACAGCTGGTGGAAATATGTTCAGTTACCAGATATCACTGGCTGAGACAACATTTATTGCCCATCAGTGGGCAGTGACACTGTACTCAGACACTGCAGCTCTGTGATCAGCCCCTACACTCAAAACACACGACAAATAAACTCCGCGCGCGCGCACACACACACACACACACACACACACAGACAGACACTCACACACAGACACAGACACTCACTCACACACACACACACACACACAGACACTCACACACAGACACTCACTCACACACACACACACACTCACTCACACACAGACACTCACTCACACTCACACACACTCACACACACACTCACACTCACACACACTCACACTCACACTCACACACACACACAGACACTCACACACAGACACTCACACACAGACACTCACACACAGACACTCACACACAGACACTCACTCACACTCACACTCACACACACACTCACACACTCACACACCACTCTGCCATCTTCGAGCGACGATGGGAGCTAGAGCTGGTTCATAAGCTCAGGTGGTGCAAAGGTGCTCTGACTCAATCGAGGTGAGAGCCAGTGAGCTGTAAAATCACACAGCGCACAATCATGTCCATCGCCAAGAGGCCATTCATTCCATCATATCTGTACGTGCCCAACAACACAAGCAGCAAGTGATAGACAGAGCTAAGCCGATCCCACAGATCAGATCTAAGCTCCGCAGTCCTGCCACATCCAGTTGTGAATGGTGGTGGACAATTAAACAACTCACTGGAGGAGAAGGCTGCACAAATCATCCTCAATGATGGAAGAGCCCAGCACATCAGTGCAAAAGATAAGGCTGAAGTATTTGCAGCAATCTTCAGCCAGAAGCGCCAAGTGGATGATCCATCTCAGCCTCCTCCATTGGTCCCCAGAATCACAGATACCAGTCTTCAGCCAATTCAATTCACTCCACATGATATCAAGAAATGATTGGAGACACTGTATACTGCAAAGGCTACGGACCCTGACGCCATTCCGGCAATAGTACTGAAGACTTGTGCTCCAGAACTTGCTGCTCCCCTAGCCAAGCTGTTCCAGCACAGTTACAACACTGGTATCTACCTGACAATGTGGAAAATTGCCCAGGAATGTTCTGTACACAAAAAGCAGGACAAATCCAACCCGACCAATTACCTAAGCAAGCTCAACACCATCCAGGACAAAGCAACCGCTTGATTGGCACCACATCCACAAGCATCCACTCCCTCCCCCACCAACGCTCAGTCGCAGCAGTGTGTGCCATCTACAAGATGCACTGCAGAAATTCACCAAAGATCCTCAGACAGCACCTTCCAAACCCCTGTCCTTGAACATGTGGAAGGAGAGGGGCAGCAGGGACATGGTGCTTTTGTAACATGGCTCCCTCAACCCCGAGACTGCTCCCTGTTGCTGCTCCAGTGTTACCCAGGCAGACCTGACACAGTCAGCAGTTTCCCTGCGGCCCTGGGAGGGGGACAGTGTTATGGGGTGGGGGTGAAGCTACAGCAGGGTCCTGTCCCTGGGCTCAGGTAATGAACAGACCCACCCCCCAAGGCTGGGCGGACCCAGTGCAATGTCTCTCTCTCTCTCTCTCTCTCAGAGAGACACAGAGGGAGCTGCCTGTACTGGGACTTTGGCCAGTGAAGGGGCTCCTGGGACAGAGGGAGGGACACAGCAATAATTCCAGTTGCTGACCCTGCCTGCCTGTGTTACCTATATTCCTTGGGGGTGCTGTGTCAGTGCGGAGTGTCTCCCCACAGCCTGGGGCCAGGCACACACACACCCAGAACAGGATCACCTCCAGCATGTTCCCTTCCCGAGTCTCTCACACTGATCCCAACCTTCACGCAGCGTCCAAACCCAACCCTCTTAAAGGCACAGTCAGCCTGAGCTCACTCTCTGCCTCCAGCCCAGGAGCCACCTTTCAAACCACGACTTCTCTCTGCTTCTTTATTTTTTAAATCCCCCTCTGCAGTTGTGTGTTTTATTCTGAACGTTGGAAGCATCAGCCCCTCCCCAAGGGCCTGAGTTGTGAAGTAGTTGGGATTACCGGAAGCACGGGCGCTAGGACCCTGCAGCAATCCTGTTGCTTCTCAATGTGAGAGTAACAGTGTTCACAATCCCAAAGGTTACAGGACACACACACACATACACACACTCACACTTATACACACACACACAC